GCAAGTTTTATTGACTTCTTTTGAGTGGACAGCATGAGGAACTCAACTTTTATTACTATTTATTACTGTAATTAAGGATGACATCAGGAAGGGGAATGCGTGGTGACTAAGAAGGCATCTTTAGCCAACCACCAGCCTGACAGCATGGATGTATCTGATTATAAGGCTGGAACAGCTTTTCAGTGTGTGTATGTGTGTGTGTGAGAGAGAGAGAGAGAAAGAGAGAGAGAGAGAGAGAGAGAGAGAGAGAGAGAGAGAGAGAGAGAGAGAGAGAGAGAGAGAGAGAGGTGGGCATTTACAGTGCTGGATCCTATGTGTGTAAATGTAAGTATTCCATATATTGTGCCGTCCAAACTCTGAGACTATTGGAGAATGAAAAGAGGACATTATTGCCGAAACCAGTTTGGCTCAGTGGATAGAGTGTCGGCCTCCGGACTGAGGGGTCCCGGGTTCGATTCCGGTCAAGGGCATGTGCCTTGGTTGCGGGCACATCCCCAGTGCCCAGTGGGGGGTGTGCAGGAGAAAGCTGGTCGACGTTCCTCTCTCATCGATGTTTCTAGCTCTCAATCCTTCTCCCTTCCTCTCTGTAAAAAATCAATTATATGTAATATATATATATATATTTAAAGAGGACATTATTAAAAAATTTCCAAGGCTGTCCTGGGCATGAAAGCAAGCATCCTATGATTTTATTATAGACAGCTTCACCCACAAGTTTAAGGAAGCAACCCAAATCATAGCCACGGGGATTATTCATCCCTGTTTTTGAACAGCCAACAGGAAGCTTTCCCAATAACTAAAGACATCATAGAACCATTGCATGCTGGGACTTCAAACTTGCAAACTCTACCTCCACTCTCAACAGGACTGGCCCGGAGGCCTGGCATCAGGCATGCTGAACTCACTGCCAAGTTACACGCAGGCAGTGGCTGTCAACTCTGGGTTTCTCGGCGCCTGCGCCATCTTGGCCTTCAAGGGAAGTTCTCGAACATCCAGCTGCAGCTTCTAGTGCTGTTCTCGCAGCCACGTCCTTTCCCATTTCCCTCACAGTGACTAAGTTGATGAATTTAAGCTCAAAAAATCATAACTTGGTCTTTGGAATCCTCTTTTGGTGAGGGTATTCTGAAGGAAAAGTTTCAGGTGGTAGATGTTGCTGGTTTAAAAAAAAAAAAATCTGGCCGAAACCGGTTTGGCTCAGTGGATAGAGCATCAGTCTGCGGACTCAAGGGTCCCAGGTTCCATATCAGTCAACGACATGGACCTCAGTTGCAGGCTGGGGACCTGATCAGGGCTTGTGCAGGAGGCAACCCATCGATGTGTATCTCTCACATCAATGTTTCTCTCAGTCTCTCCCTCTCTCTTCCACTCTCCCTAAAAATCAATGGGAAAATATCCTCGGGTGAAGATTAACAACAACAAAATCCTTCATGTTTTGGGTTGATAAGTAAATAGGAACGTAGTGTCCAATTTTGGTGTTAACCTAAAACTATTTTTAAAAGAACGTCTATATGGGAACTTTAGAAAATGAGTTAGTGCCTTAGAGAAAGAGTCTTGAATAACTAGACAAAGACTTATTAAGAACTAACCGTGGCCCTAGCCGGTGTGGCTCAGTGGATAGAGCGTCAACCTGCCGACTCAAGGGTCCTAGGTTCGATTCCGGCCAAGGGCACATTCCTGGCTTTCGGACTTGATCCCCAGTGGGGGTCCTGCAGGAGGCAGCCAATCAATGATCCCCTCTCATCATTGATGTTTCTCTCTCTCTCTCTCCTTCTCCATTCCTCTCTGAAATCAATAAAGAAAAAGAAAAGAAGAACTAAGTGTGTCTCATGCTCTCATGTGCTCCTCACAACACCCCATCACCCGAATTTTACAGAGGAAAGTGGGGCACAGAGAGACGAGTACTCACCCAGAATCACCAGGCGAGGAAGGGCGGAGGCAGGATTCAAGGCCAACAGCAGAAGCGCCAGGGCGGGTCGCTCTCACCCATCCCTTAAGGATACAAAAAAAGCAGACACTGACTCTGCAGAAAGAAAATAAACAGAGCATGCCACCTGCTATGGCCACTGCTGCCTGCTGCCTTCCAAAGGACTGGGAAATCCTGCTGAGAGGCCCCAGGGGAGTTTAGACCAGTCCGCCTTTATATGTTCAATCCCCTCTTTTTTTTTTTTTTTTTTTTAATATATTTTATTGATTTTTTTACAGAGAGGAAGGGAGAGGGATAGAGAGTTAGAAACATCCATGAGAAACATTGATCAGCTGCCTCCTGCACACCCCACACTGGGGATGTGCCCGCAACCAAGGTACATGCCCTTGACCGGAATCGAACCCGGGACCCCTCAGTCCGCAGACCGCCGCTCTATCCATTGAGCCAAACCGGTCAGGGCCCCTCATTTGTTCTCTTTATAACAAGTCACGCACATGCTTTCTGAAGAGCATTTCACAGCCTCATCCTAACGCCTAGTCATCCCAGGCCAAGCCTCACTGACTTGAAAGCAAAAAGGCCTCCATTCTGTCTCTTAAATAGCCGCCCGCAGGAAAACTTTATAGAATGAAGTAACAGGGCTCAACAGCATATCGCGAGAGCCAAAGCAGAGGGGGGAGATAGACACCACGGACAAAGAAGAAAGCCATTCTAAGCGTTGCAGGTGTCATGGGTCCTTACTGAAGCCACAGCCAGTGCGAAGCAGAAGATGGGCGTGTCTCTTCCTCCTCCCTCTGCCTTGGGCTCATTCTGTGCTTCTCTTTTCAGCCGCCGTGACGGGGATCATGTGTTAGCATTCCCGAACTGGGTGGACACGTCCCTTTCTGGAAATGTTGGCTGAAGCCACGTTCCTGACCTGGCGGGGAAACACCAGCCTGCACAATGGTAAGTCCACCCGGGGTTTAGGCCTCCCAGCTGCTTTCTGTGGATTTGAATCAAGCCGGAGAGATCTCCCCTGATCTCAGGAGCCGCTTCATGCCTTCCTTTCACGACCTAACAAATCATCTCAGTCTCCTTTTGCCAACACAAGCAGAGGCAAACCCTGGATTGGGCCACGCCTGTTTCCCCAGCACGTGTGCAGACATATGTACGGCCACCACGCAGAACTATTTAAAGACACAGAACTAGAAAACAGTGGAGCAGAAGCAAGTGTGAACACACACGCGCATACACACACACACATCCAACTGGCAAACAGATCTAAAGCTGTTTTCTGGGACCCCAAATTGCTTTGACACAGAGTCAGAACAAGAGGGGTCCCTCACTAAAATCCTTTGCTACAGAAGCCTGGATTTTTCTTTCCCAAGATGGAATAAATAAATGCCGAGGTGAACTTTTTTTAGGTAAACATGACAACTGAATGCAAAATAGAGCATCGGCAAAGGATTCTCTCCCCTCTTTCATCCTGGAACACCGTGGCTATGGGTTCTCTCAAAGGCAGACCTAGCCGAAACCGGTTTTGCTCAGTGGGTAGAGTGTCAGCCTGCGGACTGAAGGGTTCCGGGTTCGATTCCGGTCAAGGGCACGTGCCTTGGTTGCGGGCACATCTCCAGTGGGGAGTGTGCAAGAGGCAGCTGATGGATGATTCTCTCTCGTTGATGTTTCTAATTCTCTATCCCTCTCTCTTCCTCTCTGTAAATAATATTAATAATAATAATAATAATAATAATAATAATATATATTTTTTTTAAAGGCAAACCTAGAGGGTCTGGGGCTCAATTCAGGCCTGAGGGCTGTCTCTGTTCAGGACTTCCACGCCTTTAGAATGGGAATGGTCTTCAGAAGTCCCTGGCTGGTAGATTTTTTAATGCAGTGAGTCCTGGTCCAGTGCCGATCGGCCTTCTAAGGGTTATTGAAACCCAAGCTCTGGGACACTTGGGTGGGTGAACAGGATATAGGAAGCTCCCATTTTTCCGCATCATAATTCTAAAATACGTTGGGGGCAAATGAACATTGCTGCAAAGGCCACTTCCCTTCTCTGGCTAAATGGCTCCTCCCATCTCTTCCAGCCCTGTTGTCCCCCGGTAGGGTGGTGCTTTCAGCCCCAGAGAGTTGCATTTCAAGTCAGTCAAGTGTTCAATTCTTGGTAAAGCATCTGCTATTATAGAAGCTGTTTCGGGCTCATAGAATTTTAGCACAGACCGTCTGGGGATGAGTAGGTGGGGAACCAGCGTGGACGGAATGCCAGCCAAGCCTGGCATGTTGTTATTGTTTACGTCTGCGTTATTCCACCTTATTAACTGCTCTTGTTACTCCCGGTTGCCGGGATGAAATCAGGGTGCATGCACAGAGGTTAAAGTGACTAGCTCAAGGCCATGCAACAGCGGCTCAATTCTAGGTTAGACTCCAAACCCTGCATTCTTTCTGGCTGCTTCCCACTCAAGGGTTGGCTTAAGGTCCACCCTGCCCCGCACGACCCTATCAGTCTCCTAGCATCGCTAGCAGGAACTCCCCTGCAGTTCAAGAAACATATTCCAGGCGGCTGCCCCCACCTGCTTCCCTCTCTTTGCGGTTTGGTCCCTCACTTTCCTCCCTCGTCTCTCCCCTGGCCGGACCCCCCCAACCCCCCCGATTCCACCCCCTGTGTCCTCGGCTACAGGTGAGTCAGTCGTTCGGCCTGGCGCCATCAGATCCCGCAGCTGAGCTGCCAGATGGTCGCCCTCCTCTCCTCCCAGCCTGAGATGACACCAGAGCGTGCTCAGTCCTCCCCAACCAGCTGGAGATCACAATTGCCTCCCTCTCTGTACCCGCCCCCAGCAACATCAAACGCGACCCGTGTTTGTTTCAGCCCCCTCCTCCCTTTTCCCGCCCCCCTCCCGGCCTTGCCCAATAAGGGCTCTGCCCAAGGGCCAAAGACGTCAAAAGTAACCAATCGTCTGTCTTAAGGTCCCCGCCTTTACGCCGAGGAGCAGCTCCGTCGGCCAATGAGCGTGCGGGGCTTTTAGAGCGGCGGCTGAGCCGCCCAATGAGCGCGGGTTTCCGTGGTTGGGGGCGTGGCAGCGGCCGTCGTCAGGGGCGTGGCGGCAGTTGCCTGGGCGGGCCCGGTAGCCGCGGGAGCCGCACTGGCCAGGGGTTCCGGCTGCTGTTCCATGAGCGCCACCGCGGAGCTGCAGGAAGCGGACCGGGGGCGAGCCGGGCCTCCGAAGTCAACCACGCACAGGTAAATCCGGGGCCGAGCGGACCCCGCCGAGCCGCGATCGCGCCCCGAATCGGTCGGGTCAGACCCCCTGTAATCCCCCGCGATCCTCATCGCGGCTCGGCCCATCGCACCGCTGCCCGCGCGCCCCGGAGCCCCGGGGCCTGTCACCTGGCGCCACGGGAGTCCCCAGGGCCGATTCGCCAAGTGGCCGGGAGGGAGGCTGCGTGGCCCGCAGCGGGTACGCGTGCCCGAAAGCCCTTTGTCCCCTCCGGCCCCGGCTCCCGAGGCTGGGGACATCCCGGACCGGAGCCTCCCTCGCCGGCCATCGGGGCGCACTCGGGACCCTGGGAGGGGGGCGGGGGAGGGCGGGTGTGCTGGCTCAGATCGGTGACGGAGGTCCGGGATCCGCACCCGAGAGGAGAGGGCCAAGAGGCCTGATCGCAGCCCCGGGTATCCGAGGGGTCTCTGCGTTTCTGCTCCAGGGGTACCCCCAGGACCGGCCGGGTTCAAGTTGTAGGAAGGCAGCTTTTGACCCACTTGGGGACGCACTTGCTGAGCTCGCCCGGGCTCCGAGCACCGTCCTAGGCGCTTCGTGGGCTTTCCCGCGAGCAGAGCTGTCTAGCGCGGGGGGGCAGGTGGCTGCCCGCCGCCAGGCGTTTGCCTCGACCTTGGAAGCGTCTGGTCCGGGCAGAGGTCAGATGACAGCCACCTGTCTGTCAGGGATGCTTGGCGAGGACCGCCGAGGGAGAGGGAGGACGGCGTGACCCACCTGTGAAGCCTGTCCCCACTCGCAGCCGCGCAGCCGCGATCCGGGTGACTTGCTCGCCTTGCCTCGGAAGGATAACTTCTCGGGTAGTTGGCAAGTGGATGTTGCATTCACTCATCCTGAATTTTGTGGTCTCAACTCTCAGGAGTGGGTGTAAAAGAGAATAGACTATACCAGAAACACACGCTTCATTCAACCATCATGGAACTCTTTAATCTGAATTGTGGACTGCCTCTCTTAATCTTCCGATTCCTCTCCTTCAGCCTGTCAGGTTCACCTGCATTCCAGAATGTAGGATCTGGGGAGACTGTAGGTTGGACAGAGTTCATGTGACCTGCAGCCAGAGCTTGAGGGCCATTTGGTTAAAACCACATTAAGTCGAGTCCCAAAGAGAAAGCATACAGTATCCGTTGACCGCCCTCTGTCATATGAGATGACATAATAATCTCCTGAAGGTCAGGAGGCAGGGAACTTTGACACCACTCGCTTGCCTGTTTTAGGATGAATTAACCTTTGCATAACCAGTCAGAGAGCAGGTCAGTCCATGCAGCTTGGGCTGGTGGCATTTTATTTATTTTTTTTAGTTTTTGTTAATCCTCACCTGAGGATATTTTTTTGTTGATTTTTAGAGAGTGGGAGAGATAGAAACATCGATGTGAGAGATACACATCGGCTGGTTGCCTCCAGCACACACCTCGACCAGGGCTGGGAAACCTGCAACCAAGGCATGCGCCCTTGGCCGGAATGGAATCCGGGACCCTTTAGTCCTCAGGCCGATGCTCTAACCATTGAGCCAAACTGGCTAGGGCTGGACTTGTGGCATTTTAGTGCTGAACACAGCTTAGGTAGAGCTCATCTAATCTTTCTCCTCAGTGCACAGGTGGGGAAACTAAGGCCTGGGGCGGCCCCTGATCAGCACAGAGCCAGGGGTAAAGGATGTTCCATTGACTCTCGATCTGTCAAGTTCATGACTGTGTTTCACTCCCAGCCCATTTATCTCACTCTTGATGTTTAAATGCTAGGGGGTCCAGAGAGGTCAGGGGCACAGATTTGGGTGTCATAGTGCCTGGACTTGAATCCTAGCTTTGCTTCTTTCTAGCCGTAACTTTGGGCAAGTTGCTGAACCTCTCCAGACCTCTGCTCATCTATAAAACAGGAATAATAATAGTACTTAAGCTGAAACCGGTGTGGCTCAGTGGATAGGGCGTCAGCCTGCGGACTGAAAGGTCCCAGGTTCGATTCCGGTCAAGGGCATGTACCTTGGTTGCGGGCACATCCCCAGTGGGGGGTGTGCAAGAGGCAGCTGATCCATGGTTCTCTCTCATTGATATTTCTAACTCTGTCCCTCTCTCTTTCTCTCTGTAAAAAATCAGAGAGAGAGATTAATAATAATAATAATAATGGTACTTAAATTAAAAGGTTTTTTTGAATGGTACATGAGATACTATATCTGAAGCACTTAGTTTAGTGCCTGGCACATAATAATAAACATTATAGATTTGCTGAATACAATGCTCTGTTGCCATTTTATACAGTTTGCTTCTTGTCCACACCCAGTATTTTTTATCAGGAGTTTATTTCTCTCCCTGCAATTCATTAATCATATTCCAGGTTTTATTGTAGACGACTGTGTGGTTTTCCAAGTCACATTACATTTTGTTTATTTTTCTCTTTTATTAAATTTGGGCATTCATTTTTCTCCGTTAGGTTTTTTCCTTATAATTTAAACTCCAGATTTATTTTATTCTTTTTTTTTTTTTTTAAAGAGGGGAAATCCCTCAAAGTGCTAGTCTCCGATGATATCAATTTCCACGCATGCTTCCAAATATCTCCTGCTTCTGCTTGGCCCTCCTTCCCAGTTGTCAGTGCGATGCAGCCCGATTATAAATGGGGGAACGTTTTTAGATTAAGATTTCATGAGCCACTGTATTAAGTGCTTTTCGGAAGTTCAGGGATCGAGTGTCAAATGCAGTTAAGCCGGTTACTTAGTCATTCGAGCGGCAGCAGCGCCCAGCCTTGCCGGGCAGACACACAAGTGTGTGACTGCTCCTTGCCACGAAGCCAGCTTGTTCCCTGGTTTCTGTGTTTTTCCTGGTCTTTCCTTGAGCTTGAAATAAACCAGATGGCAGGTACCACGGAACAACAATCTTTTTCTCTCATTTTTCTCTATTTCCTTTTTATTTTCACCTTCATTTTCTTTATCACCTTTACAGCTTTGATAGATACCTACTCTGTTTGCCAGCTAATTTTTTAAAAATATATATATATATTTTTATTGATTTCAGAGAAGAAGGGAAGAGGGGAGAGAGAGAGAGAAACATCAATGATGAGAGAGAACCATTGATCGGCTGCCTCCCGCACCACCGCCCCCCACTGGGGGATCCAGCTGGGCATGCGCCCTTGATCAGATTCGAACCCGGGACTCTTCAGTTCGCAGGCTGACATATTTCACTGAGCCAGGACACGTTTGCCAGCTAATTTAATTCCTTTTGATTGAGGAGACGCCTGTCACGTTTATTTCTTGCAGGAATCTGGTCACCTTTGCTTTTCCCTCCTCTGTGTTCTAGAATAAACCAAAGGAGATCACTGTTCATTAGTTGGCACCTTCTTCAGAGCTGATTCTGAGGTTTGTTTTTTCATTTGGGACATTGCAGAGCTCGGCCATCTTAGAATAATTGCTTTGGTCCCATTGTTTGTGTGTCAATAATGGGCCTCTTTCTCTCCATCTGGCTCTCTTTTCTCATAACGTCCTGGTGGAAGGGCTTCTCATTTACTGTTCTTCTTTTGTTTGTTGTTAATCCTCACAAAAGTGCATTTTCCCATGGATTTTATTTTATTTTATTTTATTTTATTTTATTTTATTTTATCATCATTCACTTAATGAGACTTCCATATTATTTCCCCATTGATTTTTAAAAAGAGCAGAAGGGAGAGGGAGAAACATGGATGTGAGAGGAACATCGATCAGCTGCCTCCTGCACACTCTCTACTGGGGATGTGCCCGCAACCAAGGTACATGCCCTTGACCGGAATAGAACCCGGGACCCTTCAGTCCGCGGGCCGACGCTCAATCCACTGAACCACACCAGCTAGGGCTATTCTTTCATTCTTTACTTACACCTTCCTCCTGGTTATCTCTGGCAGTGCCCACAAAGAGTATAGGGGTTCCCCCCTGCCCATATCCAGAGCACACCGCATTTCTTTGGTCTCGTGGAAGACAGGGTCAGAGTCTGTCTTTTTTTTTTTTTTTTTTTTTTTTTTTTGCCTAAAACCTGGCTCTTTGAAAAGCCGTAGCAAAGAGAGAGAGACTTCCAGTGTAATGCCATACCGCGTGGCAGACCTCCGCTGTGGCCTACCCCTTACAACGTTCCGCCTGTTATCGCAGTGCGGATCGCTTTCAGATCCGCACGTTTATTTCTGTTGTCCCGGTTTCTGTATTAAACGTTTTCTGTTTATAAAATGGCTGGTGTGGACGGGGCGGCCAGACCTGTTGTCGCCTTTGAAGCTTGTGCCCTGACCCAGTTGGGCGATGCAGTTACACAAGGATCCATTCTCTGATCTTTTTAAAAAATATATATATCAATATATTTTTTATTATTATTTTTAGAGAGGAGGGAGAGAGAGAGAAACATCAATGATGAGAGAGAATCATGGATGGGCTGCCTCCTGCATACCCCACACCAGGGATGAAGGCCTCAATCCGGGCCTGTGCCCTGACCGGGAATCGAACCCTGACCTCCTGGTTCATAGGTCGATGCTCAACCACTGAGCCACACCGGCCGGCCATTCTCTGATCTTTTTCTTCTTTTAATTTAATTTTATTTTTTAAAGTATTACCAATAGTAGTACATATGTCTTCTTCCCCCTCCCCCCATTGACCTTCCCTCAGCTACCCCTGTCTCTCTTCCCCAACCCAACCCCGTACTCCGATCTTTTATAGCAAAGTAGCATCTAGGCAAAGGGCTTAATGGAGAATTGGAGCACTGGTTCCTGGTTCTCTTTTGTTCTCCGGCCGTGAAGGTCCATTAAGTTCCGCAGACTGAGCATCTGGTGCATGGCGGCGACACAGCTGTCCAGATTATCAAGTGTGTTTGGTTTGCTGCATAAAGATTATTTCACCTGTGTTGCACATTAAAAACGTTTTAATGTTTTTAATTAAGAATAATTTTTCAGCCGAAACCGGTTTGGCTCAGTGGATAGAGCGTCGGCCTGCGGACTCAAGGGTCCCGGGTTCGATTCCGGTCAACGGCATGCA